AGGGTCAGGGTACTGCCACCTTTACATCTGTGCTGCTTTCACTGCTGATTGGCTGGGGAGCAGCAGCTTTTGGCCAGGCACCCAGCCCCGAAGGCAGCACCCCACCAGCAGCAGCACCCATCCACTCTCACTCCCTGATCCTGCAACCTCAATCAAGGCTTGTTCATCATTTACCTCATGTGACAACAGCTGCTGCCAGGGTTATAATGAGAATCTCATGGTTAGTTAAGCTTATCAGTAAATAGCAACGCGGCACAATGATACTGCAACAGAGACGGTCTAAAATTCATTAACCAACTGGTTTGAAAACATGCACCAACAGAGAACCATAACTGATGGTTTCTATTCCACCAGGCGGTCTGGGGAGATAGTGACTCAGCCGCTGATTAACTCCTGTGCTTCAAGGGCATCATCTCCTATTCGTATGATTAACATGTCTCCTGCATACTCCGTTTTCTTCTACCTTGTTATTAGAAACAGATAAATGTACTTGCATCCAGTCCTGGAAATCCCTCCATTAAATTGTGTCCTGAGGCAACAGAAGAAGCCTAGGAGGCATATTTTCTTTGATTAGAAAATTTTAACTCTGCTTTATAAAGCATATGTTACACGAGCCATAGGTTCCCAAACTGGGTGTGTGTGTGAAGAAATTCCAGGCGGGGAACGAGGTGACCCAGGCCCCCGCTCCGTCAATCTCCCCTAAGAAAGAACCCGGTCCATCTGGTAAGAAAATTCAGAAAATACCATGTGAAATGTCCAGTATTTTCTGTTTTTCCTGGCTCGGGCGTCCGCCGGAACATTCGCAGTCCCAGGCAGACTTGAAAATGTCCACCTTAAAAGGGCAATGCCTGCTCTGCTCTTAAAAGGGCAATTTTTTTGGGTGGGCAACAATTTTTCCCCTGGAGTACCGGGGTGTGGGGGGGGGGGGGGGCGTGAGGGTTTCGCAAAAATCAAAAAGGGGGCATGATGCCGAAAACGTTGGGAACCACTGTGCTAGACCATGGAGTAATATAGATGGATCCTATATGTTTGGACAAACTGCCAAACTAAGTGGGGAAGGTTATTTCCTCACTGTGAGGCTACTGGCAGCATCGCACCATCACAACACCAATTGACATTTACTTTTCAGGTTGGTGCTTCAGAATCACCTTAAACATTTGCTTAACTGTCACTTCAGGGGTTGTCTTAAAGTGACATCATTAGGTTAGACCTACAAGGAGGAAACATATTGGATGTCGCCAATGTGCCTCTATCTTGCATCACAGATGGGAGCATAAGCAGAGGAGGAATGGAACCTAAAAATGGCCATACTGGAGCAGATTAAAGGTCCATCCAACCCAGTATCCTGTCTTCTGACAGTGGCCAATTTCAGGTGTCCCAGAGGAAATGAACAGAACAGAGAATCATCAAGTGATCCAGCTCCTGTCACCCATTCCCAGCTTCCAGCCGAGAGGCTAGGGACACCCTCCCCGCCTCTCCTGGCTAATAGCCACAATAGCTCCAGGACTTCTCTGAAGAAAGCAGAGGGACCACCATGACAAGTTGTCTCTCCTCCTTGGGAGCCAATTTTAATTCCATCTGTGCCTACGTTCACACTTCAAACTCCATAGGTGAAATCCTGACTCCACTGAAGTCAATGGCACAACATCGGCCTTTATTGCGTGGCTTGCACAGGGGAGAGGAGTGGCAGTCAGGCGGACCTGGGGAATAACATGGCCATTCGGATTGGGAGTGCACCTGGGAATCAACTCTAGTTGAAACATGAACTCTCACTCTGTACCTTCTGCCTCAGGGACTGATGGCACAGGTGCAGCTAGGGAAGCTAACAGCAGCCCATCTCTTAAGGGATCGATGCTGCTGGTGGGTGTGTGTCCAGAGAGAGGTGTAAAGGGGCCAGCTGTCCTCGTGCTCCAGGATGCGTGGTGTCGAGCATGGAGTTCCGTATGGATCCCTAAGGCTTCTGCTTTGCAGTGCCTACCACATCCAGGAGGCTACAAACCCTTCCAGAGAGGCATTAGTTAGAAACTCAGGGGCCTGCTCAAAGTAAAAGATGCAACTCCAGCTACATAAATTACATAGCTGGAGTTGATGTATCGCACATCACATTTCTGCACCATCCACACAGGGGGAAACCAACGGGAGCAAACACTCTCACTGGCTTCCCTTCCTCCTCATGAAGCATGGGAGGAGTGCTGGTGCTGATGGGGACACCCCCTGAGTTTGATCCAGTGGGTTCATACTACACCTGCTAAATCAAACCCCAGAAAATCAACCGCAGAAGCATTGATCTTCCATGTAGTGTAGATGTACCCAGCCTACAGTTATTAGTTTCTGGCATATAGGAGCACAACTTGGTGACCACATATCTAGTTTCCAAATGATGGGTGTGATATCAAACATATTAGCTTTGTCTGAATAAGTTTAGACATATTTTGGGAAATCACTTTTCACTTAAGCTATGTCTACACAGCAGCGTTATTTCGGAATAACTCATGTTATTCCGAAATAACATAGTCTGCGGCTACAAAGCAAGCAGTTATTTTTACAGAATGTTGACATAACGTTGAGCTGGAGGGCTTTTTGCTCCAATTCTTGTAACCCTCATTTTATGAGCAGTAAGGGAAGTCTGAGGAAGAGTGCTCTAACTCAGATTTCCTGCTGCATAGACAGTAATGAAAGACGAAATAAGCTATTTCAATTTAAGCTACACAAATGGCATAGCTCAAGTTGCCTATCTTATTCCGGCTTTAGTCCTGCTGTGTAGCCGTGCAGTCCTATTATTCAGCCATTGCACATACGGTAGTACAGTATCTGAGGAATGATTTGTTGCAGTATTCAACCAGCTGTAACACAGTATACGCAGCAAACTGCAATGTGCAGACAACCTCTGGCTTCTCAAGGTTGTTGTTGATTTATTAAATGGTCACTAGAGGGAGATGAAGAACAACTTAGTCTACATCTTTACTTGTTTCTTACCCATATGTTGGCTGGATGTTATACACATCTGCACAGACTTCTCTATAGAGAGATGCACAAGCTTGATTTAGGGAACGTGAAGCTCTCTGTCTTATATTCTCCACTGTTATTTATTGATTGTTTTTTTTTGAAATGCATCAATAGCACTTTTTAAAAACTTGTCTGGCATAGCAGCCACATCCAGGTGTGAAATTACAAATGCAAACCATGCGCAATGTTACCGCTTCATCATTTTTATATACGTTTTGGTAGCAGTAGCTTTTGGGTGATAATTAGCTGTTTAATCTCTTTTGTGTTGATCACAAATGCAACCCCACTTGATGTACTGACTGCTCTTAAAGGTGCAATCACACAGGGGGATCTTTTTCACTACTGTCAAGATAATTTTATGAAAATTTCCCCTGCTCTTTCCAGTCACCTCAAAAAAAATGTTCCTGTTTATGTTTTACCCTAGAAATAACAGATTCTGAGTTACTGGGTTTCCTTGTATGCAGACTGCACACTCTTTGAAAGACACCTGAGATATAACATCAAAACTGGAGCTTATACTACCGGTCTCCCAGCTAAAACACCCTGATCAATTGAAGCAGTATTCTCTCTCTGCCAAACTGCAATAGAGGCAAGAATTTCAGAAGTCTGCAAATATTCTGGGGCACCTGTGACCAGTGTTCCATACATGTGAAGATTTTCCATCCATGTGCAGAATAACTCTTTATGTGCACTGGGGAATGAGCAAATGTGCACCACCCGTAGAAACAAAACATAGCTAATCAGCTGAGCGGTATTTGAATCTCTCCTGAAGGGTCGCAGAAGAGCAAAGCTTACAGGGAACACTGCCTCTAACTCAGGAAACTTTTAAAGCCTGACTAGCTGTAACTAGCTTGACAGACTGCTAGCTTCATTAGGACCCTACCATAAATATAAGGTGAAGTTAAGGGCACCTTGGGAGCCAAAACAGGCATTATAGTGCATCCATAGATATAAAATGTAAAGGAAAAGCATCCCGGGGAGCAGAGAAAGGAGGAACTGGGTGACTGGCTGAGCCAGAGAAGACTGGATTTAGGGGGACAGGAAAAAGGAGGGCTTGGATGTAGGATCATCTCTGCTTACTAAACATGGCACAAGAGTTTAGCCATCAGTTCTAATGGATTCATGCATTTAGAGCCGTCGCCACCGCTTGAAATAATTAAACATTGCAGCAATATAGTGCAAACAACATGAGTTGAAGAAGGCATGTAACTTACATATGAGGCAGCCCGGAAAGAGATCTTACTAGATCTAAAACTATATAATCTCTATAGCCTCCTTTCCCTAGGTACTCACGTGGTAAATGCTGGGTTATATTTTGCACCAAGGTAGTAAGAGTAAAGGTTGAACATTCCGATCATGAAGGCAACAAACACCATGATGAAGATGACCATGAATTTGAAGATGTCTTTCACAGTCCTTCCCAAAGAAATCTGAAGAGGGCCAAAGCTTTCATTGGCTGGAAGAATGTAAGCAATGCGGGAGAAGCTGAGTACCACAGCTATTGCATATAGTCCTTCTGATATGATCTGAGGGTCCGAGGGAAGCCACTTGTTCCTGGCTGAAACAATACACACATATAAAAGTATTAGTAACAGAAAATGTCGGAAAGAGATGAATAAAAATGACCTATAAAATAGGTTCTGGGTTTCCATTCTGGCCAGGATTAAAGGGAAAAGTGTAGGAATCTACTAATGATCTGCAGGTCTCATGGTGCTCTACAAAGATGGATAGGAACGATTAGATTTTTTTCACATGGAGAAACTGAGGCACGGCAAAGTTTGCATCGATTTGCCCAAAGCGCACAGCCAATCAGGGCAGAACTGGGCAACAGCACCCAGATTCCCTGACTCCCAGTATAGTGCATCATCATCTCCTGCTCCAGCTGATGTCATTGTGAGCTTTGTTATTGTGGGTCAGAATCACACTGATAGGAAAATGCCCAGCTTTTGATTAACTGCACCATTTAAACACACACAATGTAACTAAATAGCTCATGGCAAAATCTGTCCTCATAAGACTAGACCAAAGAGGTTTGGATTTGTTCAGATAAAACCAGTCGAACTGCCAAACCTTTTAATAGATCTAAAATTCTGTTAACTTTTTAAATTTGAAAAATCAAATTATTTAGCCATTTGTTTTTAAAAATCTCCTGTATGCATACACACTATTGTAATTTACATATTTTGAATATGCTTTGAATATAAGTATCTAGGTGTTCTTGCATTAACTGAGACTCATCACTGAATACGAGGCTTTTGACTCAAACCAAAACATGTCCCATATTTAAAGACACAGGCATATTATTTGCATGAATCCAGATGGTACGAAAAGAAGCAGAGTATTTCCTGTAGCATATCTGTAAAGTTCAGTTCTGAACTTAAAGCAGAAGGCTGGAAACACATCCCTTTTATGACTATGTTTAAAAGTCTCAGAAGGAGAGCCGTGTTAGTCTGTTTGGGTATGTCTACACTACCCTCCTAGTTCGAACTAGGAGGGTAGTGTAGACATACCCTCAGTGCAAATGAAGCCCGGGATTTGAATTTCCCGGGCTTCATTTGCATAA